CCCTGCACTTTTACTTTGGGACTGCGGGTTAGATTTCCGATAGATCCCCCTACACATTGATAGTTGGACTACGGGACGGCATCCCGAGAGATCCTTCGGATATACACTTATGATGGACTACGGGACGGTATCCCGGGAGATCCACTGGACCGTTGAGAAAAGGACTACAGGACGGTATCCTGGGAGATCCTCATTTTTACCATTGGTGTTGAGTTGTACTTATTCTGTGGTTGTTCCGTTCTTGTGTATTTGCTATTGCCTTGTTTAACCTCTCTTATTACACTGTTGTATTTATTATTTCTGTCAGATTATCATCCTGTTAATTATTGTTATTACTATATTTTGTCTCAGTATGGCCCATACCTTCCTCGTCACTACCCGACCGAGGTTAGGCTTGGCACTTACTGAGTACCGCTGTGGTGTACTCATGCCCTTCCTGCGCATGTTTTTTTCATGTGCAGATCATCCAGGTACCTCTACTCAGGCGCCCTATCAGTGAGGCGGGAGGACTACGGAGACTTCGAGGTAGATCTGCTGCGTCCGCAGACCGACGAGTCTCCCTCTTATTCTATCTTTAGTACCGAGTTTTTCCTTCTTTCAGTTGTTAGAAATTCTGGAGTTGGGAACCTTTACTATACACTTCTGTAGCCTGTGTTGCCCGTGAGTTTCCGGGTTTTGCGAATTGTTTTAGACTTGTGATATTGAGTTGTACTTGCCAAGCGGCAATCAGTACAGTTTCTTTTAGATATTTAATTTGATTTTTCTCTATTTTTTCGCAATTAATATACTTCCGCAAATGTTAGGCTTACCTGGTCATGGGGACCAGGTGCCGTCATGACATGTTTACGGTTGGTGAACTAGGGTCGTGACACATTTCAACGGAAAGTAGCCATTATTATATATACCAGATACACTAACACCATCTAAAATACTTAACCCACTTCGTTTTCCAATTTCAGATTATTTTTTTCTGATCCTCATGTAATGCTGCAAAAATTAAAACTACTTAAACTTATGAATGTTGCTGATTATTTGTCGAAGGTTGCCTTTTCATCGATGTAAATGATAAGTTGTAACAATCGGATTATCCATTAAAAGTTTGAAGGGGTTTTTTTCAAAGTATTCTAAAGCAAGTAAATTACAATAGTATGTTTGTTCATCCTTATCTACTTTCAATCTCAAAAATATGCTTTCCAGATAGCCTTTCAGACACTTAAAATAACAAAAGAAAATGGGTAAAGCTAAAGAACATTGGAAAGCCAAAGAAAATTGAAACTATGTCTTCTGCCACTTTGGAAAGCCAAAGAAAGTTCAAACTCAAATCCTGAATTAATAAAATTCAGAACACAAATAAAGTTCAAACTCTTTCAATTCAATCTCTTTGAACACAAACTCTTTTTTGCCATACATTGGAAAGGTGGTTTGGCAGCCCATATATATTTCTGATTTGTGAAAATCTTATGAGGTTTGAGAAAAAATTAGAAGAAAATCAGATGTTGAAATTTAAATATATACACTCAAAGATTACTTGTGTATGATACTCTAATCAAATAAATAAATTTACATTAGCAATTAAAGTAAGAAGACATATTTTTCTTAATTTAATATGATAAATGATAAATATGTGTATAAAAGACATATGCATGTCTTCAATTTATAAACGTTGGGGTACAAATAAATTTTCAATACTAATAAATGAGATTTATGAGAGACAAAAAAGTTGATTAAGATAAGGGAAAGTCCTATGCAAAAGATTGAATTTCCTCAACTTAAAAATCTACTATTCTGAAAAAGTTCATGTGTCTTCTTTTTAAGGAATAACTTCTGCAATTTCTTTTTATAACTTTCAAACTTCTCAAACTAACATCTATTAGTAGGCCATTTGTATTATATACCCAATTTTGTGAGTTCCCATATCTGATTTGATCTAAGTAAAACACATCATCCGTTTTCATTGGAGCTATCCTCTAAGTCCAAAAAAAGAAAAGAAAAGAATATAAAATCTTCTCTAATCCATTATCATATAAATTACGGAATCAGATAATAAGAACATCAAAAAAAGGTTATCCTAAAATGGGTCTAATTCTTTAATGTTCAGATTCTCACATCAGTAAACCTTAACCTGAAAAATCCAAAATTTTCTTAGCCAAAAAGCTATACAAAAAGACGCAAATTAAACAGTTTACCCTTTGTTACTACCACAACAACGATGACAACATGAAATTAAAATTTTTAAAAAGAAAGAGAAGAAGATTAGGGAAAAGTTAGTTATCATTAGTGAGAGAAGCTCCTTCGTCTCTCTACTCTTTTTCCGCTAAAAACCTATCCACAAAGAATGCAAACACAAACAACAGGCAGCCAATTAGCAACATCAATCCCTCCAAAGCCACCTGATATTCCAACAATCCCATATCAAAGCCTTCGCGAGCAGAAGAATTCCTATAGGGACAAGTTGCTTGGGAAATCAACAAACAATCTAGGGGACTTGGACGACCCAAATAACTCACCTTCACCCATGGAAGTGCAACACACTATACACGACCAATATACTCAAGAGGGAGAAGGGAAACAAGTTCAACAAATAATCTTGACGGAACAGGACATCAAGCGAATATATGAACCATGGAAATTCTCAGTTATAATCAAATTGATAGGGAAAAGAGTTCCCCATCAATACCTAAAGTCAAAGGTCGAAGCCCTGTGGAGACCTACTGAAAACATCTCCCTGATAGACCTCGGGGAGGACTACTATACGGTTAAATTCAATAAGAAAGAAAATGCGAAAAAAACACTCCAAAACGGACCATGGTTCATTAACGGCTTCTTCCTCTCAGTCCAAAAATGGACACCCAACTTTGTAGCCACACAAGCAACCCAAAGTTACACAACTATTTGGGTGAGGTTACCCCAACTCCCAACGAAATTCTACGATGGAATTATACTCACAAAGATTGGGAATGCTATTGGAAAACTCCTAAAAATAGATGCATGTACATCCTCCACTATGAGAGGACGTTATGCACGACTATGTGTTCAATTACCCCTGGAGGAAAAGGTCCAACCCTATATCCTCATAGGATCACACAAGCAAATTATATTGTATGAATGGGAAAACATTCTATGCAAATTATGCGACTGCCTTGGCCATTCAACTGTCAAATGCCCCCACAAAATTAATCACAGCACACACATGACCAATGAGGAAGACAAATTGCCAAAACACTCTGAAGACAACGATAGCGAATGGCAGACTGTCTCATTCCCAAAAAAAAAGAGATCAGCATTTAAATCAAGCATGCAGGTAGGATCCACAACAACAAAACTTCCAGGTATAAATGTCAGAATATTCGATGCTTCAACGGGTAAGTTTCTTAACACTCAGCACTTGAAATATGTGGAGAAAAATTCTCTCTCACACCATCCTCTTGGAAATTCAAGAAATCACAATAATCACCAATTAGAGTTAATTAAGACCAACAATACTAATACAGGAGTCATTAACAACCCTACTAATCGTAATTACTATAATCCCAAAAACGAGCACATGGATTCTACCCAAACCAGTGGTAAAAAGAAGACCACTATGGTTTTGCATGGCAAGAGTTACCCAAAGCAGACAGGTGGAGTTAACGTGTCCTCGTTGGATACAAACTCCACGGTAAATCTCCAAAGATCAACAACTACTAATCAAGGGCCTAAACAGCCTACAAACGACCCTTCATCACCCAATAATAAAGTCCATAATAATTCTACACCAATAATAATCCCTCCCAGTAATCATATTAAGGCAGAAGATCTCCAAAAAAAAAGATTGCATGCATGCTAATAACCTCTCCCAGGAGGAACACTTGGCAAAAAGTGAACTCCAAATGTCAGACGTGATCTCTACAAGGGATCTTGTTAAAAACCATACGCAAGACCCTTCCTATTCCATGCATATAGACCCTATAATTTCTAACTCCTCAATTACACCACCGGACTCCATAGCTACTAGCCATCACCAAGTTATATTAAACTCCAACCATGCCTCAAACCCCACTCACACTGAGAAGGAGATACATATTGATTCAAATCCAACTACTTCATCGTCCATATCCAATGGACAACTTACCTCCGCTATCGCCCCAACTCCCCTCTCAACCAGTGATTTACACTCAGCCACCAAATCCACCCAACCACCAACCACAATCCTGCATAGAACTAGGCCTCATGGGCCATGCAATTTCTTTCAACCTCCAGATCAATGGCAAGACTCTTCCTAATTATTCAAAATACCAACTATCTTGCCTAGTTGATCTCGGAGGGAATGCATCTTGCCATGACAAATTATATCAACCAAATGTGGATATCCAACATCCTTCAACCACTGGCTCCTTCTCTAAACCAAAATCTTACCACCAACATGCAAGAGATGTGGAATATACCAGGAATCCCCAACAATGTGATGCCCAGAATATCCCACTCAATCTACCCTTCTTTGCCCCAGAGGAGCTGTCCATAATGAACCCCATCTTCACCCCCATGTGCAGTTCAACCACCTCCTGTACAACAAGTCCCTCCTCAGAATCCCCCACCACCCATGCAGGTAGAAGCACAACAGATGGACATGCAAAGCCAAGAGGAAAACCAAGAGGAAGAGGAAGAAGCACTCCCTCATCTTGGAGAACCCAGGGTGGCATTCTCAAACCTAAGCGAAGTAAAAATACTAATCTTCAAGGAATGGCTCAACAAGAAGTGCATCATCAGCTGTCCACTCACAATGTTCAAATGCTCGATGGATATACAACCCCCACACGATCCCATAGTCGGGAAGAATGTAGTCATACTGGCCCTCCCACAGGAGGAACAATGCACCAGCAGCAAGAGAGAACAACCAAACACCATCCAACCAGTCAATGATGAACCAGCCAATTAATTTCATAATCTGGAATGTCCGGGGTGCAAACAATGCAAACTTTCATCGGAACTCTAGGGAGCTTATGGATACTCACAGACCTAGCATGGTAGCTTTGCTGGAAACAAGAATGACTAATCACCTCTCAATACTGGAAGATTTCAACTTCACAGAGATGATAGAGGTTCCAGCAGAAGGGCAAGCTGGAGGGCTGGTGATCCTATGGAATCATGCTAGAGTCATCGTCAACAACTTCACTAGGCGTAACCAAGAAATCCATGCCATGATCGAGGTAAAACCCAATCACAAAAATTGGCTATTTCGTACCATCTATGCTAGCACTGATAAGCATAATCGAGATATCTTATGGCAAAACATAAAAAATATCTACAACTCTTATAAAGGGGCTTGGCTTATGGGCGGGGATTTTAATGATGTGATTATGGCCCAAGAAAAATTAGGTGGCAAGGCAGTGAACCAAAAGCGTGCTAAAAGCATTTTAGAGAGCCTAAATTACTGTAATCTTTTTGATCTAGGATTTAAAGGGTGTAATTTTACTTGGTCGAACCATAGAAGAAAAGGTAAAGGTCTGATAATGGAACGATTAGATAGGATCTTTGCTAATACGGAGTGGCTAGATCAATATCCTGAAGCCTCTACAATTCATCTACCAAACATCCACTCCGACCATAATCCCATCCTCATTTCCCTCAAAAAGAAAAATATGACCTACATTGACAAACCCTTCCGTTTAGAGACAATGTGGTGCTCACACCCTGATTTCATATCATTAGTGAAAAAGCACTGGGTCACAAATGACCTTATAACGGCCACCAAGTCTTTTGGGGAGGATGTTAAGTCCTGGAGTAGAGAGGTTTTAGGTAACATTAATAGGAAGTAAAAAAACCTCCTTGCAAGGATAGGTGGAATTCAACTTAGTCCTAGGTATAGCACTAGCATTTTCCTCCAAGAGTTAGAAGTCACCTTACAACAAAAATATAATGATATCCTAAAGCTTGAGGAAGACTACTGAAAATTACGATCTAGAATTATGTGGCTGAAAGAGGGGGACGCTAACACGAAATTTTGTTAAATCACAGCCACAAATAAAAGAAGAATTAATAAAATAAACTTCTTCAAAGATGACATGAATAACTGGATAGATGACCCCAAATCCATAATGGACCATACTGTCAATTTTTTCAAGAATTTATTCACCACTACTCATACCTTATCTTCTTGGCATACCAAAATAAGTAGCAACCTACCAAATAAACAATGCCATCTCTCGTGCCTAGATCAAACCCTTATGGATTCTGAAATTACAAAAGCAGTCTTCTCCTTTCATCCAAATAAAGCCCTAGGTCCGGACGGTTTACACCCGTTATTTTTCCAAAAATACAGGGATAACATTAAGGGAAATGTAAATGACTTTTGTCATAAAGTCTTTAGGGAAATTCATATACCAAAGGATATTAACAAAACCTACATCTGCCTAATACCCAAATTTAAAAATGCAAACAACTTAAAAAACTTTAGGCCCATTAGCCTTTGCAACACCATCTACAAGATCATTACCAAAATAATTGCCAATAGAATGAAGCCTTTTTTGCAAAAACTAATTTGACCTCATCAAGCCAGCTTCATCAAAGGAAGAAGGGCTTGTGACAATTCTGTAATAATCCAAGAAGTTATGAATTACATTAGGAACTCAAAGAGCAAGAACAGTAATATGTTAATAAAAATAGACCTAGAGAAAGCGTTTGACAAACTGGAATGGTCCTTCATACGTAGGACCTTAACCTTCTTTAACTTCCCTTCTAAAATGATTAACTTAATAATGTCCTGCATTACCTCCTCTAGTTATATCATCCTAGTCAATGGCTCTAAATCAGAATCCTTCATTCCAACAAGAGGGATTAGACAAGGTGACCCAATGTCCCCCTATATATTCATCCTATGTATGGAGATGCTGTCAATAATGATCAACCACAATGTGGACATTAGAAAATGGGACACTATAAACATCTCACCTAGAAGTCTTCCCCTATCCCACTTATTCTTTGCAGACGATCTAACCCTAATGGGCAAAGCTAATACGAAGACAGCCCACTCTATGATTAGCTGGCTTGATAACTTCTGCCAATTATCAGGACAAACTATTAATAAATCAAAATCTAAGCTAATAATATCTCAACAGTGCCCAACTTTAATAAAAAACAACCTATCGTCCATTTGGAATATAAAGCCCAGCGAAGTCTTTGGTGCATACCTTTGATTCCCAACACTAAACTCAAGCCCCAAACCAAAGGATTACCGATTTGTCATTGAAAAAATGAGAAAGAAGTTAGGTAGCTGGAAAGCAAAGTAGCTTAATACAGCGGGGAGGTGCACTCTAGTCTCCTCTACTCTCAATACAATCCCAAATCACATCATGCAATCCTCTATGTTGCCTGAGAAAACTCTTAGGGATATTGACAAAATTCAACGGGATTTTCTATGGAACTCAACTCCAGACAAGCGGAAAATTCATATGATTAATTGGAATACCATTACAAGAGATAAGTGCATGGGAGGGCTGGGTATAAGGAAAGCGAAAAGCAAAAACCTAGCTCTCCTCACAAGCTTAGCTTGGAGAATGATAAACAATCCTAACTCCCCGTGGACAAAGGTAATCTCTAGTAAATACGCAAATACTAGAGGAAAACCTTCAAATGCTCACACTTGGAAAAGCATCCTTAGAGGATGGTACTATTGCAACATAGGTACAAGATGGGATACTAAAGCAAAACAACTCTAAATGTTTGGAATTACAACTGGATTACTAATGTAAGGAACCTTAGAAAGACGATAGCGGGCCCCCTAACAGAAAATGAGGATAAACTTACGGTTAATCAAATTAGGAAGGGGAGTCAATGGAACTTAACAAAAATTTCTTTCGACCTCCCAGCTCAAATAATTGATAACATTTAGGCTATCATATCACCTAAGGAAAACAATTCTAATATTAACAACATATGGAGCCTGTCCTCAAACGACCTCTTCTCGACCTCTTCGTGCTATCAAAACATTAACGAAGAAGAAATGAATGATATTGATTTCAGCTAGATTTGGAAATTACATGCCCAAACAAAATCAAAATCTTCATTTGAAAGTGCTACCATAATAGACTCCCTACTCGATCTTACTTGGCCAAAAAATAGGGATCAATATTGACCCTATATGTCCAGTTTGCAAACAAGGGGAGGAAACGATTCGTCACATATTCTGGGATTGCATCACCAACTTATAGTACACCTATGGCCTCCACTATAACACTGCCACTCAAAATAATCATTGGCTTGATTACATTAGACAAAATAATAGCCACATTAACCATTACTATCTTACTTGGAGCGAAGTCTTCCCCTTTGCTATATGGAACATTTGGAAAAACAGGAACAACAATAATCACAATAATACCACTAGCAATCTACAATGGCCCACAATAATCAAACAATCTCTTGAGTATAAGCTCATGACTGAAAAGTCCATAATCCATAAAGGTAAGATGGCACAAGCCACCACAGGGATGGCTCAAACTAAACATAGACGGTGCCTTCAACATAAATAAAAGCCAAGGTGGGCTTGGTGGAGTTGTAAGAAATCATGCAGGTCATTGGATAATGGCGTTCACCATGAAAGTGCACACACTCTCAGCTGCTCAAGTGGAACTTCAAGCTCTCCAGGAAGGCCTCCAAGTGGTTATCAAACACAACCTGTTTCTAGTAGAAATAGAAACGGATGCATCAGAAACAATAAACATGATTAAACATGACCACCCCACTTATGCAAGTTTATTTTATGAATGCAGGTGGTTACTTCTTCAAGCGAGGCGGAAGGGGCAGGTAACCCTCAAGCATAGTTTCAGGGAAGGAAACGCAGTGGCACATGTTTTGGCTAGGGAAGACTTCATGCAGTCCAACATAAATAAGCTTTGTCTGTTGGCAACTCCACCTGTACCGGCGATGACACAATATCAAAGGGACATGGAGGGCTTTTGTTATGTAAAACTTACTTCTACTAAGTTATGCACTAAGTTGGCTGCTCTAGGGAATGTTGATGCAATAGAAGGTTGTAGTTCAAATGGCAGTGCCAACTGCGGCAATATGGGTTGTAATATGTCAAAACTTGACACTTAGTTATTATTAATATATTTCCTACCGTTCAAAAAGAAGATTAGGGAAAAGTTCACTAACCCAGAAGAGAAAAAGGAAACGCATAGTGCTTCACAGTTATGCTGCTAATTGTGAGTAAAAAGCAGAGAAAAATGACGGACAATTCTGGAATTTTGTCAGGATTTTTGTGTAGAAGAAAACCACGTAATTATAGGTTTAAAAAATAAAATGGCAGGTAAAATGATAATTACACCCATGTCGACCAACTTTCCTTTTCTGTATAATAGAAAAAGTTCAACCAGAGGGAAATAAATAATAAAAATTTAGATAATGTTATAAATAGAATTCTATTTATGGTGAATGTCCATATTTAGAGAGATTCTAGGGTTTATTACTTGGTGGCTAAGTCACCATCTCCCTATAAATAGAGGGTTCTATTCCATTGTAATTCATCCCAAAATTCAATAAGAATTCTCTCTCTCTACTTTTCTCTGCAATATTGCTCTTGTTCTTTTATTGTTTTATAACACGTTATCAGCACGAGACTCTAACCAATTGAGTAGAAGCTTTGGGATTGAGCATAATGATTGTCAATTGTTCCATGAACTTCCTTCATGATTAAATTCTGAATTTAAGGTAAGTATCTTACTTTATTTTTCTCTTTTAAATTCTTGAAATTCTATAATTTGATTTTATATACAAGCAAAGACAACAAAGTTTGATTATAACTCTAATGGAGTTTGTAAGAAATTATAACCACCTGAAGTGGTAAAATTTCTATGCCTTGCCATGATCAAATTCATGTATGATTGTGGGCAAAGAGGTAGAAACCCGTCCCATTGAATTTGCTTCATTCTCATTCCCTTAAGAGAATGTGATAGCAGTATGTAATACGTCTGAAAGAAGACAAAATTATTATCGTAAAGGTATTAATGGATGTGGACGTGGCAATAGACGAAATTATAATCGTCATCATTGTGATAATGAGAATAATAAGGATTCTCAAAATAATCATTCACTCTATGAAAGTAATATATGTCAACGATTTGACATGAGATTTTATAAAGTACATATAGATGATTATGGTCCATTCATGATGTGAAAGTGACAACATCTGATTTATGAATACATATTCATTTTTGGAAGAATATGAGCGTGCTAGTGGTATATACCACACTCACCTCTAGAAGGAGGTTTGAGATGATATAAGAAAATAATATCATTATTATGGCATGAATGGTCATTGGTCACGTACCTATTGTACGCCAAAATATTTTGGCATTATGATTAATAAAAGTCAACGGTAATGCAAGAAACAGATCTTGCATATAATTTTGACCATAACCATAATGGTATAACTTTCTCTTTAAAAGAGATATTCACCATATGGGTGTTGGTGAATATGTGGTACTACAAAATTAATTGAGAACTCTGCAAGAGCCAATTATACTATTTTGGAGAAACACAATTAATTACCAATAAGGTATTGTGTTGTAGTAAGTCTCAGAGAAACTTATTCAGTTTCCAAAGTATACGCGAAAGCGGTTGATTATATTGTGACTATAAATAAAGGAAAGATTTAATATCTTCTATTACTACATCTTGTAGCGGGGTAATATGTATGTGAAAAGCTACCCGCTTTATTCTCCAATTTGTACTACATAAACAAAAGAATACCACAATGAAGTGGATATTTATTGATATAAAAACCCTTATCATAATAAACTTGGAGTTTATTCATAAC